TTTGCAGACGAGTAAGAAAAACACTTATAAACCACAAGGAGCTTTGAAAAATCAATTGTAAAGGCATAGTCTTTGGCAGAAGCGAGCGGCCGCCTTTAACGCAAAAGATAGTGTGGGTTTAGGGAGAAGAGGTGGCTGCATGGAAGGCAGCAAAATAATACAGAACCAGACAATTCTCTGTTGTTTTGAATTTCTTGCTGTTTACCTGCTCCTGTGCAACTCACGCAGGTTATGCCTAATACCATCCTAGTCGGTGTATTACACTCGCCTAATACCATCCCAGTCGGTGTATTACACTCACCTAATACACAGAATCACAGAATCGTAAGGGTTGGAAGGGACCTCAGGAGATCATCTAGTCCAACCCCCCTGCTAAAGCAGGCTCACCTAGAGCATGCTACACAGGACTTCATCCAGGCGGGCTTTGAATATCTCCAGAGAAGGAGACTCCACAACCTCCCTGGGCAGCCTGTTCCAGTGCTCTGCCACCCTCAGAGTGAAGAAGTTCTTCCTCATATTCAACTGAAACCTCTTATGTTTCAGTTTGCATCCATTGCCCCTAGTCCTGTCGCTGGACACCACTGCAAACAGACTGCTTCCATCCTCTTGACTTCCGCCCTTAAGATATTTGTATGTGTTGATGAGATCCCCTCTCAGTCTTCTCTTCTTCAGGCTGAACAAGCCCAACTCTCTCAGCCTTTCCTCGTAGGGGAGATGCTCCAGTCCCTTTATCATCCTAGTTGCCCTCCTCTGGACTCTTTCTAGGAGTTCCTCGTCTTTCTTGAACTGGGGAGCCCAGAACTGGACACAGTACTCCAGGTGGGGTCTCACCAGGGCAGAGTAGAGGGGGAGGAGAACCTCCCTCGACCTGCTGGCCACATCCCAGTCGGTGTATTACACTCGCCTAATACCACCCCAGTCGGTGTATTACACTCGCCTAATACCATCCCAGTCGGTGTATTACACTCGCTTTGCAAAGGCACACGTCTCTACAAGATATAAACCAACGTGAAAAATAACACAGGACGATCTATTAGCCTGTGGCATAAAGGAAATCCCATGCCTGGAAATACCTCTTACCCCAAAGTGCGAGAACTTGTGATATAGGGAGCAATCCAGCCCTGATGCATCTCTTCCATCTTATCTGATCTTTAGAAATGTTTGTTTCGCAGCTGGTTTACTGTCATTGTGTCCTAGATGTTGTTATTTAAACATGCTCCATTTGATCATACGTTATCAGATGGCAAAAACAACATCACAGGTTAGATCTTACAAGGCTTCTGCATACACAAAATAAATAGGTGCTGAACTCTAGCTGCGGGTGAATATCTATAAAGAGTCTAGTATCTAGAAAGTAAATATAAACCAAAAAGCAAAGTATAGGTCTGGAGCTGGATGTTATGTATGGCATGAAGAGAATTGACTCTGAAAAAGCAACAAATGCAACAAGATGAAAATACATAACTTGTTAAATTATCTGTGACTTACAGAATAAACAAGCCAAGAAGGCAGCTGAAGTTCAGACTTGTTTACACGGACACTGAAGCACTCAAAAATAACCCTTTGCGGCGTATCCTTTTGCTTGGCAAAACTCACAAATGACTCGGAAGCGTCCTGAATTTCACGTTGCCTTTTTTTTTTTTTTTTTTTTTTTTTAA